TTCTAAACAAAAAAAAAATGATCAGGGTTACGTAGCTGTACATTTCTATTAATCTAGAGACTACTACTAATCCCCTTCCAGATTACACTAACTTCATGGATAACTTAATATAACTTTGTAAATAACTTAATATATAATATACAACCAACCAATACAGACAGATGATAGGACTCAACACTTCAAGAATAAAATACGTACAAGTCAGAAATAGAGGAATTGTACACATGCTGAATGAAGATATATTTTACGTGTTGTAAAGAACTTCTTAAGGAGTGGGGGGGGAGTGTTGCACTGAAGCTTTGCGCACATATAAAGATGCACACAAGATATCTGAAGATGTTCCCTTAACCCAATCTTCTCACGTTTAACACAAAATATTGTTGATGTTCGAGTGGGTGACAAACGATGTATGGGTGACCCGAGACTGTAGGCAACATTCCCTAGTGTAAGGTGATGTGCCATGAATTGGTGTAACAATTTCACTATTTCGTTGCTCCCACACTACATCCACCCACCCTACACCCGCCCACACCCCCAGCACCCACCCTACACCCACCCACATCCACACCCCCAGCAACCCACCCACCCTACACCCGCCCACGCCCCCAGCACCCACCCACCCTACACCCTCCCACGCCCCCAGCACCCACCCACCCTACACGCGCCCACACCCTCAGCACCCACCCACCCTACACCCGCCCACGCCCCCAGCACCCACCCACCCACCCTACACCCTCCCACACCCCCAGCACCCACACACCCTACACCCTCCCACACCCCCAGCACCCACCCACCCTACACCCTCCCACACCCACACCCCCAGCACCCACCCACCCTACACCCGCCCACACCCCCAGCACCCACCCACCCTACACCCGCCCACACCCCCAGCACCCACCCACACCCCCAGCACCCACCCACCCTACACCCGCACACACCCCCAGCACCCACACACCCTACACCCTCCCACACCCCCAGCACCCACCCACCCTACACCCTCCCACACCCCCAGCACCCACCCACCCTACACCCGCCCACACCCACACCCCCAGCACCCACCCACCCTACACCCTCCCACACCCCCAGCACCCACCCACCCTACACCCGCCCACACCCACACCCCCAGCACCCACCCACCCTACACCCGCCCACGCCCCCAGCACCCACCCACCCTACACCCGCCCACGCCCCCAGCACCCACCCACCCTACACCCTCCCACACCCCCAGCACCCACCCACCCTACACCCTCCCACACCCCCAGCACCCACCCACCCTACACCCTCCCACACCCCCAGCACCCACCCACCCTACACCCTCCCACGCCCCCAGCACCCGCCCACCCTACACCCACCCACATCCACACCCTCAGCACCCACCCACCCTACACCCGCCCACACCCCCAGCACCCACCCACCCTACACCCGCCCACACCCCACCCCCAGCACCCACCCACCCTACACCCGCCCACACCACCCACCCACACACACACGGTAATATTGCCACCACGTGTATAAAGCATTTACGGTAAATAAATGCCTTGTAGTTAGTTTATATATTTATTATGTTTTGCCTGTCTTTAGTGTTTATGTCAAGAAGGTAACTTGTGCACGGAGGAAGGTCCCCCCTGTGCACGGAGGAGGATTCCCCCTGTGCACGGAGGAAGGTCCCCCTGTGCACGGAGGAAGGTCCCCCCTGTGCACGGAGGAAGGTCCCCCTGTACACGGAGGAAGGTCCCCCTGTGCACGGAGGAAGGTCCCCCTGTGCACGGAGGAAGGTCCCCCTGTACACGGAGGAAGGTTCCGGGCTGAACAATCTCATAATGCCCAACAAAACTAAGTAGTTACGACGGGAACACTAACTAACTACATGTGGCAACAGACAAGGTTGAGTGATGGCGGGAGACACTGGTGCAGGCTGCTGCTGCTGCTCCTCTCCTCCTCCCACAACAACCCTCTCAGGAATAATCGCTCAAGTTCCGGAGACAAGTTGAAGTTGTAAGATGATGATGATGCTCTAACCCATCGTGCAACGTGTGTAGAGATGTTGCATATGACCAAGGGGTTCACCCCATGATTTACTAGACAAGACCCTATCATTGTAAATGATTTTCCCCCTCTCCCTTTCCCTACCTAGCGGCTTCCCCATCACCACAACTTTTGTTTCCCTTTGTAGAGCTTTCATGCCTTGCCCAGAGAGGGAGACAGCCTCCCTCCTGGACAAGGAGAGAGAGAGGGTCAGCGAGAAGACCGCGCGTGTGTGTGTGCGTGTGCGTGCGTGTGTGCGCGTGTGTGTGCGTGTGCGTGCATGTGCGTGCGTGTGCGTGTGTGTGTCTGGGTGTCCTCTCCTTAAACCCACACAAAACAACCCCACCATCAACACCGCTGTACGAGGCTATTATCCACCCTCTCAGACACACCCGGAGACTCGCACATACATTACTACGCCTCCACTTGAGTGCTCTAATTACCACACCAAAACTCGCTTCGTTTTTGTCTGGTTCAGTGGAGATGCCCCTTGCACCCATCCCTCCCCCCCCCCCTACTCTCATTTCCCCTGCAATCCTCTCCAAAGTTACTACTCTGGCACGACAATCCTCACTACTCGTCCACACACAACACGACCCTCCCTCACTACTCGCCTCTACTCTCCCCCACCAACACTCACCTGATCCCTGGGGTCGCCCTAGCTGGGGACAGCAGCTTCCCGCCTACCAAACCAATTTCAACCGGCTCTCCTCCCCTCTCCACCATATTTTCCGGTTTTCTGTACCGCCAGCCTTGCTCCCCCCCCCCCGGGGAAAGAGTGACTCACCACAGCCCCCCCCCGCCCCCCTCACCCATCTTCGACCACTTCCCTGCAGCAGCGGCAGCAGCAGCAGTAGCGGCAGCAGCACGAGGCAAGGGACCCCAGCTTCTAACTAACTGCAGAATGGCGAGTGAGGTGAAGAGTGTGGGGAAGCCTGAGCATCACGGACACCAGTCAATAAAACAAGACTATATCCCATGACCTAATAGCTATTAACCTATTTAAAGAAAGCCACTTTCATTTTTTCACACTCACACACAACATAGGGGCATTACTCGGTGAGGATGCACTATAAAGACAGATGAAATAGTGATGGACCTGGACAGTAAATGGGTGACCACGCTGAGACAATCGCTATGTTCTCAAATCAGAATTCACAGAGGCCCACACTCAGATATTCCATCAGTAGAGCCGGACCACACCACATCACACAGTCAGGCCTGCTGTGATGCTGGCCAGCAGCTGGACCAGGCCTGCTGTGATGCTGGCCAGCAGCTGGACCAGGCCTGCTGTGATGCTGGCCAGCAGCTGGACCAGGCCTGCTGTGGTG